ACATTGAATTATGTTTATACCATTGTTTGATGCAACTGCATGCCGTATTTTTATATGAAAATAAACAAGCTGAAAACATTCTAACTGAAAAACCTTTAGTGCTTTTCAATAGTATTAAGCCTCAAATGTCAACTATACATCGGACTGGTTTCTTCTTTAAATTATAAAAAAAAAAAAAAAATATGAATGGTATTATAATGTTATACTAAAACTAAAATTAAAACAAATGGAAAAACCTTTAAGATAACATGTAGAAAGAAAAAACGCATCTTATGCGTGCAGAATAACATAAGTGGACTTTGAACGATTAATTGCCGCTTTGAACGATTACGTAATTGTGGCATCCATAATTGTAACCGCAATTAGAAATTCGATTAATTGTGCAGCCCTAATGTATATTACTTTTTTACTAGGGCTGCGACGATAAATCAATGCAGAATCGATTCTGAGATCTTCCGAATGCATCGCGATTCTCTCCGGAATCGATTCTGAGCTTAGATTTTAACAGCAGATGGCGCTCTAATCTAGTTTTTAACCACACACTCACACACACGCTCATGAAGAAGAGCGCTTGTGCGTTCGGCTGAGCCATGTAATTTCATGGTGAATGTGATTTCACCAAGTGCAACATGTTCCTGGATCTACATCCTTGTTGATCCTGGAACAACATTCCAATCAACCAATCAGAATTGAGGGATACGTTTACAGGAAATGTCAATTTTAGCCTTACAACCAGTTACGTGCTTCTACATCCGTGTTATTCAACCATCATTTCCCTCTGATTTTAGGGATAAATTATGGGTAGGTTAGGTTTAGGGGTAGGGATAGGTCTATATTTTTGAAGAATAATGTTGATTCAGGATCAACAAAAGATGGTGATCCAGGAACATGTCTTACTCGGCAAAATCACATTCACCTAATTTCACCTCAGCTCAGAATGCTTTTATGACGCGAGATTAATGTAAACACAGCCCACTGTGAATACCCTTGTAATTCACTTCAACCTTTTCAAACTCTATAAATGATTAGGTTCAAGTGTGTGTAAGGATTTGGAAACAAAGAAATTAAGCATCTGCTGTTCAAAACTAAGCTCAGAATCGACTCGAGAAAGAATCGTGATGCATGAAAATCTCAGAATCGATGCAGAGTCATTTCTCGATTCGTGATGCATCGATTTATTTTCCCAGCCCTATTTTTTTTACTAGAGTAGATAGTGAGGAAAAGACACAGAAACGTGGTTGCCACTCACTTCCATCGCTCATGGAATTGAAGCTGCTCTTCTGGCTGTTCCTCTTGCTGTTCCAGGTGTCATTGCCGCTGTCCCGCTGCAGCTCCTGCGGCCTGACCTGCGGCTTCTTCTTACTCTTGCGTGTGCTGATGCGAATTATCTCTCGCACCAGCCTGCACTCGGCCTCCTGCTCCTCCATGTTGTGCTCCTCCACGATATCCGAGATCAGCTGACTGATCTCCCGGGAACGCCGCAGGAACATGGAGTCCGTGGTGCACTTGGCCAGCTCGTTGATCTCAAACTCAGAGAAGACCTCCATGAGCTTCCGGGTGATGAGTTTGTCCACGTCTTCCATCCCGCTGCCGCAGATTAAGTCATCCTCCGGTAAGCTACTGAAGTAAATCGGACTGTCCATCGCGATTTTGGAAGTGGAAAATGACACGTGATCTTCATCTTCTTCAATGACGGACGTGTCCACTTTGACGCCACCAATGCGGATGTCGGAATAGAAGCCGTTCTCAGCCTGTGGAGGTCTTGACTGGTTCTCCACCGGCGCTTTGGGAGCTGAGCTTTCGCTCGAAAGGAGACAAGGCAAGCGCCGGCACACACGGTACAGTCCACAAGTCAAAACGCTACAAAAGAGCTTCCTGCAGCTACTCACAGAAGCGCAAGGTCCGCACATACACGTCCCCGAGACGGGCTCCTCTTTGGAGGGGAGAAAGCTTACAGTCTCCGGCCCAGTCGTATTGCCGTTGGCATCCTTGTTGACTTTGTGCCTCACTCCGAAGTGCTGGATCTCAATCTCCACAGGGTCTACAGAGCGCTCTTGGTATGGCCCTTCATCAATGGGACCACTGGTCCAGGACGGGGTGCTCTCCATAGGGACAACACTCGGCCCAGACCGTCCTCTGGTGGCTGTTTCTACTGTTACGCTGGACTGAGGCCTCAGGGTCTGTTAAAGAGAAAGAGACATAATAGGAGAAAACTGGGAGGAGATGAAGGTTTTACCTTACACTTTCAAGCAGCCTCGGTAACAAAACTGCAGCGAGTTGTCCCAAATTTCCCTAGGAGATGCAAACCAACCAGTTTAAGAGCTGTTTTGTGTTGGCTTTCTTGCCTGTTGTCATTGTTAATATGATAGTGAAAGTAAAACTTTCACCTCAATAAAAGTTTGTGTCAACTAAAGCCTTATAAAAATGAAATAACTTATGTACAGTACAAACTATACATTTTAAAATACAATACATTTACATTTAGGCTTAGTTATTTAAAGAATATAATTAGAATAGAGTGCTGCAATACATGTGATTTTACTGCAAACTGCAGATTTTCCAACATTATGTGGTATTCCATTATACCATCTTAACTACAGTAACAAATCTATTTTAGTCGATCAGATATACTTGCATATTAACCATTGTGATATTGTTATACATGAGAAATATGTACTACAGCGGGAAAAGAAAGTGAAATTGTTCTACATGTTAAATAGGGTTAATTCAGGTTAACTGGGGACATTTTCCCCAGTCATCTCAATGCAAAAAGTGTCCCAATTTACCTGAATTCACCCCTATATAATACAGTCAGTCAAAATGCCATCCTGTAACATAATCACTGCACTATAAAGTATGTCCTGGCACTACTGCTGCCGGTTTTTACTATAAACTAGACACGTTTCTATATTTAGTGCTGATGTTTAGAGGACAATAGAATTCTGGGAAACTCCAAACATCACTATTAACAGTATACATCTGTCACAATCAGTTATTTTAAATATTAAAATTAATATTTTCATAATCTAACAATCTATAAACAATAGATTATATTATAGATTGTATATCAGAGACACATACTGTTATATTTTTATTTACACTTACGCAATTTGAGATAAAAAAAACAAAAACAAAGGAAATAGTTGATTAACGTTTTGCATTTCGAAATATTGAGAATGTTTTTCGACACTTCTGGAACCATTTTAAAAGCAGTCTCAACTAGGTTTGATGACAGTCGATAAACATTTAAATGTTTTAGGTTAGACAATAGACATATCTATTTTAAGGCCGCCTCTGATTATTCACAAATTCGGAAAAGCTACAAAGTTCACACTGTCCCCAAACAAACAAACCGCAAAATAATCCAGTCAAATCACAGACATGCGGCTTTTAGAAACAGACCAACTAGTGAACTAGTTTACCACTGCGGAAAACATTTGAAATAAACCAGACAATCACAAGGAGCAACATTAATAAAGAACAAAGTTTGTTATTGTTGGACTTTACTCACACCATATGGGGGAAATGTCGCAGTCTGACGAGTTTCTGCCGGAAGCACAAAAAGGTCGATCGACCTGGATTTGACTATTAGCCCACAGATATTCCGCCGGTGCTCAATCAGCTGCCTTTAAATTGTGTTACAAAGAGCAAACAGTGAAGGGAAATGATTTGACCTGCATGCTCGTCGTTCCCGCTTGTATGAACGCACACAGTCAGGTACACCTACCTGATTCAACAGGTACATCAGGACACGGACACTGGTGGCGTAATGCGCAAACAGCAAGTCTAACCAGTTTTCATTGACTGTCAGTCACATCAGCTGACGTTTGCAACCGAGGCCATACGTAAATGAAAAATAAATAAATGAAAAAAAAAAAAAAAAAAATTTTGCCGGATAATTTATCTTCATTTAATATATGATGCATGGACACTAGTGAACTTAGTGGCGAGATGTTCAGCCAACAGATGGCGTACTTGTTCCTCGGATACCATAGACGTTTCTAACAGTGAGGACTAACAGCAGGACTACACATGTTCGACTACACAATTGCATATTACTATTCCTACAGAAAGTCACGACACAAACCACTTTACGTCTATTTCTACAGTATTAGGAGATTATGCAATAGCCTAATTACAGGTAAGAACTGTCATAAATCCTCCTGAGACCCAGCTATGGAGTTTTTGCCTCTGTAGTGGACATTATATTTTAGTGAATTTCTCTGAGACTGGTATATCAAATCATTTTGTTATATATTTTATAACAGTTGAGAATCATCCTTAAACACAGTTAGTTATAAAAAAATCCTGAAACCTAAAAATTGATTGGTGATTTAAAAAAAAATTCCCATTGTTTTTGCCTTTTCATGAGTCCTGGTGTCCTCTACAGAGGACATAGCATAACTTATGAATAAAATATAATTTTTCAAAAATGTTATTTTACCATTTTTTTCTTATGCTCTAAACAACGTAATGACATGAAAAAATACTAAATTCACAAAGCTTTTTATGTCTGGTTTTCAGGAGGATATAGTCCAATTTCTTTAAGTTGCATGTGTGCCTGAGTAAATTATCCAGCTACAAACACGGTTCACATGTTCTTATGTCAAACATCACATTCACACAGTATAAAAAGTGACAATTTGGAAAGTAAACTTGTAGGTTTAACATTTTTATTGACATTACATGTAGTCTTTGAAAGGGACAGTCCCCTGTGTGTCCACTGAACAGCAGCGCACTGGATCAGTCCGAGCATCCTGTAGTCCTTGCAAAGACCGGAGCCTGATGACTGACAGCCTCCCCAAAACACACCTAATCAAGGCTGCAATGTGAAAAGAAACTATTAATGGTGAAATGCTAGATGTACACACACAGGACCCGTTTTGTCCCATGTCTCAAGAATGACTGAGCTGCCAAAACGTGCGGTATATTTTATTATACTATGTGTAATACCGTAACCCACAATGCAGATTAAAAGAGGCAAAAATAACATTTTTGTTGAGTTACACATGCAACTAGGTCAGTTTGATACCCAAAGTCTGGCTGGCTTTAAACATGCTGGTTAATATGTTCGAGCATGTGGACAATCATATTTCTTGATCAAAATCCCAGTCTTGGTGAGGCATCAGTGTAAACACAGTTGGTTTGCATCTGTCTGAATGTAAACGTTGAACAGAAGAAATAAACTTGCACTTCACGTTCACACACACACACACACACACACACACACAACTGCTGTCGTTTATGCAATAGTGATTAAACATTAATACTGGTATCAATATTTCTGAGGTACTGAAACTGGTATTGAGAATTTAGTTTCAAATGCCACTGACTACATTGAAATAGTGACAGCTCCTACATGAAGTCATGTGACAGTGCAGCGTACAACTAAGACTCTTGAAATGTTCATTGCATTATACATTTTTCTCTTTAAATGGTGGTTATCATACATCACATACTTCGCAGTATGAAGTAAACTGGAATCCCATTCTGAACATAGCCATAAAAAACCTGAATTACACTTAGGAAATGAGGCAGCCCACTACTTGAAGCAAAGACAGATTTCTGGGATGCTGTAAATGCTGAAATAACCATCCCACTTTTGGACTTTACAGTATTGCTTGCAGAGGGCAAATCATTTCCTGCTAAAAACCAAATATGGACGTTCTCTGTGTAGACTGTAAGTGAAGCAATTGTACTCACTTTATAGCAGACGTTGAGAACTGCTTCTAGATGGAAAGGTTCGCTTCCTGGAATCTGACTGGGCCCTGTTGACCAAAACCTGCAGGGCTATTCTGGGTCACTTCACACTTCGAGGCCAAGGAATCCAAGCTGTTAAATTGAGGCTGGTTTTGCTCAGCTATGGCAGAGGGAAAAAAGTAGTTATTTTCCGACTAAAAACCACATTTCAAACGTGCAAAGTGATTATGAAGTGATTACCTTGTCTGTAGCTGCTGGAAAGTGTAGGAGAAATCCTTCGGATGGCACCTTGGCCAAACTCACTTGGAATGGCAATAATACGCCTGCTGCTTTCTTGGCTTTGGACACCTTTGGAACAATGGAATGAAGAACTAACAGGCTTTTGTACATTTTGACCCGGCATCTCGCCCGGGTAACTTGGAGGTAAGGAACTTTGGAAAGCACCACTGCTAATGTCACCAGAAGCCCACTGGTTCTGAAAACTACCAAAGCTGCTTGTGGGTTTATTAAGCCTTACATGGACTGTATTGATCTCATTCGATCCAGCAGTAGTGGGGTTAGTTGCACTGAATCCTAATTTACTTGTAGAAGGCCTTGAGGGCACTGAACTTGGTTTGTACATGGTTCCCTTCACAGAGAAGGTCTGATACCCAGACTGGTATTGATGAGCAGTCTGACCAGGAGCAAATGGTACTTTACGCTCTGGAAATCCAGGATGAAATTTGGGCTTGTTGGATTGTGCTCCATTTTGAACATTTTCAGGAGCCTGCATCATCAGGATTGCACCAGAACTGGCATTTGAGGACTTTGCTACATCACGTTGAGCTCCACTTTGAGAGGGGTATACAGGCTTAAAGATTTGATTAGGTTGACCGTGGATATTGTAGATCTGCTGGAATTTGGGGTGGGTAGCTTCATATGAGGTGGTATCTTGGTTATCGGAGCACTTTCTGGGGCCTTGAGAAGAATCCCAATTGAAGATGTACGGTGCGTTCCAAACGGGATATTTCGCCCTCCGAAGGGCACTTCGGAGTGAAAACAATCATGGCCGCCATATTAAAGGGTCATTCCAAACCGAAGTGCTCAAAACTGGCCACTTCAAAGGGCCCTTCGGATTGAAGGATTTTGAAGGGTCCAACTGATGGACACTTCGGGCTCCCATGATCCTTTGCATGATGACTGTGCCTCCGTGTGGGCACGTGATGATGATCCAGAAGGGCACTTCAAGAAACAGTTGTTTGGGTTCCCTACACCCTTCAACCCCTCGAAGCTCTCACTCCGGAGGGTAAACCCTTTGAAGGGATTAGGGCGTAGGGATGAGCCCTTCCGAATGGAACGCAGGGCTAGAATCATTGTCCCTACAGTCATTTTTGGAGTGTTTTCTTGGCTCAGAGCTAGGACTGTATTGACTTCCACTCATGGAGTAGTGAAGAGGTTCATTCCGTGATTTGCCCTGACTGCTTTCAATCAATCTAGAGCTCTGACTGGCCTGATAGGGGTCAACGTGACTGGGACCTCCAAGTGGTTTTACAGAATTTGGATGTCCACTATATTCTCCAAGACCTTGAGCATTTCCTCCACCTTGAACTACAAAGATTGGCCCCGAGCTAACAACCGAAGACTTGGCTTCAGTGTATGTAAATCCACTACGAGAGGGTTTTCTTGGATTCATACTTGAATAAGCAGGGTTTCCCTTCATGAATGGGCCATAACTGCTATTAGCTGTCTGGAGCTTGCTACTCTGACTTCCCTTAGATGAAGTATACTGATGGGAAACCTGACTTGAGATAGAGGTTGATCCATGATTTGGGCCTCTTACAAGTGGGTCTCTGGTAACAAAAGAGTTGAACTTCATATGGCTTTGTGTGTTTTAGAAGGCTTTACTACAAAGATCTTGTTAGATTCAGCAGTTTTAGCCACCTCATAACTAGATTCACCTCTAGAGGGTTTCGATTCGGGTACTTTTAGGGTTCTCATCAAGGTGGACCCGCTCTGAGATGAAGTTGAAGCCAGCCGGCTCCCAGGCTGCACGTTTTTGGAGGCATCTGTACAAGACTCATACTGAACAGAGGGATGACCAAATCCGGACAAGTCATATTTTGGAACAGATGCAGAAGGCTTATAGTTAATCATATGATTGTCTTGATTATCACTTTTAGCAGAAGTCTGACAATCTTTTGAATCCGATTTCACATTTGATCCTGCAAACAATCTCTCTTTAGGAGAATCATCATAACTTCCATGGGTGACAGTGGGGCAGAGGAGCAGAAGCGTAAGCAGGCTCATTCCAGTTTCCCAGTTGTTTCACCTCAGGGCCAACCACGGAGAAAGTGTGTGCTGAAACTTCCCGCAAAATAGCGGTTGGCATGCTCCCTGTTAGAAACAAATAAAGAGGACACAAACAGCACGAGACAGCAATGTTTCAGAAAAATAGCAGCAGTGTTAGATTTACCTTCATAATTCCCCAAACAGGGTACATAAGCAGGAAACAAGGCAAAAAGAATCCTGAAAACAAGCAATAAGTCAAACATTTGGTAAAGCAATGTATATTGAGCTTAACATTTGGTAAAGCAATTTATATTCAGCTTAAGGAAAACATTTTGTGCTCACCTTAAACAGTATGTAGAATCCATTACTAAATAAGGCACCCGCAGAGACAGAATAACCAGCAACGTCTGTTATATTCCCCTCACTTGATAACTTCTGGCTAAACCTCAAAAGGAATACCTTTTAGACTTCACACATCACCTCCAGCCAATCAGCAATCAAGATACCTGCTCACTGCAGGTGTTAGGACTTATCTTTAAAAAAAGTTTCAAGAAAAAAAAAATCTATTTCTTTGAGTATGCTTGATAAAATTACTTGTAAGACATAACAGAAAATAAAACAAAAATGTAAAAATAGTAAAGCAATAATAATAAATTAAAATGAATTAAAATTAACTATAAAATGTTTTGCCAGGCAACCTAAAATGTGTTACCTACTAAACAAAATATTACCTACTATATATTTTATTTAAACATAACTAAATGAACCTGACTACATTAGGTTATACCAATGAAAGTTATGTTTAAGGGTTACACCAGGAGGAAATTGATTGGCAACTGCACAGTTTCACTTGTGCTCAATCCGCTCTTTACAGGGCTCCCACAAGTGAATTTTCATGTCATTTATTTTTGAATACTGTATAAGGTTCAGTTCAGCTTATTCATTGTAAGAAGAAGAAAAAAGAAAAGAAAATAGAGCATAAATAAAATATATAATATATTTACTGTATGTCATTGACTTATTTGATTAATTCTCATGACTTTTCCAAACCTGGAAAATATTTTATCTGCTATTTCTAGGTTTTCTATGACTGAAGAAGCCATGCATTTAACCTTATTTCTAGACTGTGATGAATATATGCTTTCTAACCTACTGCACAACCTCATCTGGCCATAATTAAATTCTCTTCACTATGAACTCACATCAGTGAAATACAGTACTCACCTTTTCCATGGACTGAACACGGTAAAGAAAGCACATAGTTGATATCCTTTATCATATTTATATGGGAAACTACAGGCATTTTGTGTTAAAGTTTAGAGAATTGCAAAATATTATGTATAACATGAATGGTCTGTCTCCACATCCAGTATTCTGAAGTGAGTGCTTTCGAGGAAGAGGCTTCATAATGCATCAAGCTCAAGTGCAGACATGTGTTCGCAGTACGGGGTTTCATACATTAAGGAGGTATGAAAGCCATTAATGCCATCTAATAGCCTTCCCTCATTCTCGCACACATACACGCACCGCTCTGACAATTTCCCATTCCCACCTGTGGGCATTTGATAGATAGGGATCATTAGTGTCATTCTCCTGCAGTCAGCAGGAAGGAGAAGCATCCGTCTGTCTCCTGATACCAGGTACTTTAAGCGCTGAGGAGATCTGTCACACGGCCTACTTTTCCTTGGCATGTCATTTCATCCTATACACTGTCCCTCATTTATTCCTCCAAGTCGGGAAGTTGGAATGCAGTAATTTCCTTATATATTAACAGGATCCTTCACGAGCTCTTCGCCTGCCATTATGGAAAGTGATGCGATTGTGTGACCTTTACATGGAGCTGTGATTAACAGTCAGGTTGACATTCAATTGTATGACGGTAACTTGGTGGCGGTTAATATGTGGCACTTGTAGCTGTTTTCAGCTTTATGTAGAAAATGAACGAGTGATTCTTGTTAAGCCATGTTGGGGAACAGAAAAAGGATATATAAAGTTGAGTAAAACGCAAGTTTTTTTCTTGCTAACATCATCAGAAATAATCACAGTGGCACAAATACAGTGACTCAGTATGGAAACAATAATAAGAAATAATAATAAAAAAAATTTCAGCTGCAATGAGTCTCATTAATCAGAAAATATGTACCCAGGAAAACACACTGCATCAGTCCTACAAAACCCTTTGTTTTAGTCTGCATTTCTGAGACAATTTTCAAGAATAAGCTTCAGTAATGGCCAGCCACACTTGGCAAACTCCCTCGTCAGCAGATTCTCCTCAGCAAGCAGTGGCATACAGGAGAGAATGTCCCATTGTGAGGTGTAGTGTGAATCTATTCATCATCGGACATTCAAGGATTCTTATTATAAGACTTGGACTAGATATTGTACTTCCCCCTCAATCTTACCCCCTGCACCACCACCAAACAGATCTAGCTATATGAGTGAATCTTACTAAAGCATGTTTAGGTCATGTCACCCTAAAAATAAATCACATTTAAGACTATGTTTTCCCTCATTCTAATTACCAAGAATACATCCACGTTTTTTTTTTTTTTTTTGTTAAATTCAAATTATTAACTTTAGTGATTCTCATTAGATTCTTACATTAAAGTTCTACTGTAATAGACTGTAAACTATACTGCACTACTGTCAATGCATACAAAAAGCAACTTGGACATTATGCTATGAATTTCTCTTTTTGCGTTCCAATAAAGAAAGTCATATAACCAGTATACATATAAATCAATATTTGCCAGTAGTAGACAGTAAACACATATTTTTCAAGTACATATACTTTATCAGATTCGTTTTTTATTTGACTTTTTACTCAACTAAATTTAATATTGTTCCTCATTTTTTCAAACTGAAGAAACCGACATTTGAATTTGTGAACGATTCTTTTTTAAGATTAATCTGTTGAAACGGTTCGCAAATGGCACTGTATGATTTGTTCATGAAGTGGACTGATCAGATTGCAGCGACTCTCGAATCAGTGGGTGCTTCTCAAATTGAAGGCTGCATCTTGAAGCTGAGTCCTTCCTAGTCCAGTCCTTCAGAGGCTTCTACACTAGCTCTCCTTAGCATTAAGCACTAGAATGAGATGTCTAGTAATTGCACATATCTATGCCATAATGATTTCCACCCCGCAGATATATTGAAAGAGCCAAGCACTGACTCATTTTCTGCCAAATCTTTTACGTGAATTTAAATGTGTTGAATTGATACACTTGATGCATCCTTTAAAATCTGCTCAAGGGTGCAGCTTTCCAATTGAGATGCACCCAACAACTGATTCAGTGATCTGGTAAGAGTCTGCAGTCAAAAACCTGCTGAATTTGAAGTGGATATTCAACCGAGACTGCCTTGCTCTCAATTGTTGAAGCCCTAAGACTGGCAAGAGCAGATTCCAAATCTTTAATACTTATCTTGCTGGATCTGTCCGCTGCTTTTGACACAGTTAACCCTATTGGCAAAGGGCATCTCAGGAACCTTTTGAAGCACCTTTATTTTTAAGAGTGTATGCTGATGATACTCAACTCTACCTATCATTCCATCCTGATGATACGACGATAGCTGCTCGCTTCTCAGCTTGTCTAACAGACACTTCTTGCTGAATGAAGGACCATCACCTTCAACTCAACCTTGCCAAGACAGAAAAGAAGCACAAAATCACTTTCACAGACTTTTTCAGTTTCCTCCTGGTGGAATGACCTGCCCAACTCAGTCCGAGCAGAGAATCGGCTAAAAACACATCTCTTCCATCTTTATTTGACCCTCTAACAAAAAAACTTGCCCCTTTTAGACATGCACTCAATTCATTTACTAACTGCTTGTTTTCTTAAAAAAAAACGAAACACTAGCTTCTCTATTCTTTTTGTATTCTATCTGTTTTCTTTTTATTTATTATACAATTGACGTTGGCAAAGAGCTTGATTGACAGGCGATCTGACCAATCAGAACGCAGATATTATGTGCCGCCGCTGCTATCCGCCATCTTGCCCAACAGCTACGGCCGGTCTCCATAGAGATCCATGTTAAAACGGGGTAACTAAATATAAAAATGTGCGCAGGGTTAAGCTGTGCTGTTGTTAGCTGCCACAGTAACGTCAATAACCTAAGGAATTCCTTTAAAGTACTTTGCATACAGAAAATCTGTCATGTCCGGCGCTGTATGCATGGCTTGCAGCACTTTTAAAATACTGAGTGTGAAATAATAAAATAATACATTAAAACGTGTGCTCTTATCATTCTGTGTACAAAATCCCGTGAACTTTGCCCCGATCGGGAGCTGTATATGCACGTGCGCTCATCTGTTTTCAATGCAGCTAACCTCGCTTCGCTTCATGTCATCTTCCCACTCATCAACATCCCTCACACGACTCCGGGGGGTGATAAACACTTAATAACTAAACACGTAATAAACACTTTTTTTCTCACTTCCGCTGACTGTCATACACGGAAGATGTTCCGGCGGATGACGTAAGACGTCGACGTTGCGTGATTAGTGACGAACGCGGAGACAAAACAAAACAAAACGCCGTTCACGAATTAGAAGCACAAAACGAGGATTTGGAAAGAAAAATGTCGGAGGATTTCAATATAAGCAAAGAGGAGACTGGTTTTCCTTTGCTAAAGTAAGGAAACTTTTTTTCCTTTGCTCCTGCATATCTCAGAGGCGCGCGCACAACGCCTATGTCCTACTTCATCCACCTGAACGTCTTCCTCGTACCACAGTCAGTGGAAGTGAGAGAAAAGTGTTTATTACGTTTGAAATATGGATATTTAACCTTTATTCACCCCTCGGAGCCGTGTGAGGGACGTTTTATTACGGATGAACGCACTTTATTTACCGTTTTCTGAACTGTTGACAACCAACACCCGCTTACCCCCATTGAAAGGCTTGGAGGGGCCAGGACAATTTATAATATAACTCCGACTGGATTTGTCCGAAATAGGAAAGTCACATACACCTAGGATGCTTTGAGGGTGAGTAAAACACAGGCTAATTTTCATTTTTGGGTGAACTAACCCTTTAACCACAAATCAGACAGGAGAGTAGATTAACTTCGGTGGACTTCAACTTGAAAAATGGTGTGTACCACAGTTGAAATAAAACACTTTCTGATGTTTATTCATGTTCATTTCGTGCTTTGAGTAAATATGAAAAGACGATCGGTTCACGTGTTTGAACTGAGGCAATACAGTGATCTGTCACGACACATTAAAGAGCCACAAAACGGTATTTATTGTTTGAATTTCTTTAAAAATATACAAATTTGAAAGCTGAGAGTCCTGAGACCTTGTTTCATACCAGAAGTAACCTGCTGTGTCTTGTCTGTCGGTGTGTTGTCAGTTTTATCTTTGCTCTGCGATGTATTTTTCACTGCGTGAGAACATGATTTGTAGCTTGAGAGCGGCATTGTTTGTC